ACAAAGATATTGTTGAATGTGATGTTGTGCCTATGCAAGCTTGCAATATTCGCTAGGTAGACCATGGCAATTTGATAGAGATTCGATGCATCATGGTAGATCAAATCAATATTCGTTTCTATACCATGATCGAAAAATTGTGTTGCATCCTATGTCTCCTGAAGCTATTATGCAATCTGATGTTACTAAAGTTTGCAAAAGCAAAGAGCGAGAGTGACAAATCTGTTGTTGATGACAAAGATGAGATAAAATTGAAAGGACGTTGTATGCTTGCTACAAAATCTGATATTAATGAGTTCAATGCATCCACCTCTGTTGCTTATGCTTTGGTATGCAAGGATGCTTTGATTTCATTTGAGGATATGCAACGTTCTTTGCCCCCTATTTATTGCTAACATTTTGCGGGAGTATTCGATGTGTTTCCCATTGAGATACCGGTGGGCTGCCACCAATACGAGGGATTGAGCACCAAATTGATCTTATCCTGGAGCATCTTTGCAAACCGTGCGCCATACAGGACCAATCCGGAGGAAACGAAGAAAATTCAGCGACAAGTGCAAGAACTACTAGACAAAGGTTATGTGCGTGAGTCTCTTAGTCCTTGTGTTGTTCCAAAGTGATTTTAGTGCCTAAGAAAGATGGAACATGGCGCATGTGTGTTGATTGTAGGGCTATTAATAATATCACCATTCGATATCAACACCCTATTCCATGATTAGATGATATGCTTGATGAATTGAGTGGTCTTTGTTGTGTTTTCAAAGGTTGATTTGCGTAGTGGGTACCACCGATTCGTATGAAATTGGGAGATGAATGGAAAAGCGCTTTCAAAACCAAGTTCGGTCTATATAAGTGGTTAGTCATGCCTTTTGGGTTAACTAATGCACCTAGTACTTTCATGAGATTAATGAACGAGGTTTTGCGTGCTTTTATTGGGAAATTTGTTGTCGCTCTACTTTGATGATATCTTGATTTATAGCAAATCCATGGATGAACACCTTGATCACTTACGTCTTGTTGTTTTCAATGCTCTACGTGATGCACGTTTGTTTGGTAACCTTGAGAAGTGCACTTTCGCACCGATCGAGTATCGTTTCTTGGCTATGTTGTCACTCCACAGGGAATTGAGGTTGATAAAGCCAAGGTGGAAGCTATACAAGGATGGCTGTACCCACGACGGTCACACAAGTGCGGAGTTTCCTAGGACTTCTTTGGTTTCTATCGCCGTTTTGTGAAGGACTTCAGACACCATTCTTGCACCGTTGAATGAGCTTACAAAGAAGGGAGTGCCCTTTTCTTGGGGCAAAGCACAAGAGCACGCCTTCCATGTGCTAAAAGATAAGTTAACACATGCACCTCTACTCCAACTCCTTGATTTTAATAAGACTTTCGAGCTTGAATGTGATGCGAGTGGAATTGGATTGGGTGGTGTTTTGTTACAAGAAGGAAAACTGTTGCATACTTTAGTGAGAAATTGAGCGGGCCTATTCTTAATTATTCTACATATGATAAGGAATTATATGCTCTAGTGCGAGACATTAGAAACATGGCAGCATTATTTGTGGCCCAAAGAATTTGTTATACATTCGATCATGAATCTTTGAAGCATATTCGTAGTCAAGAAAAACTGAATCGTAGACATGCAAAATGGGTTGAATTTATTGAATCTTTTCCTTATGTTATCAAACACAAGAAAGGGAAGGATAATATCATTGCAGATGCATTGTCTAGGAGATATACTTTCTTTGAATCAACTTGATTACAAGATCTTTGGGTTAGAAACAATTAAAGACCGATATGCTCATGATGCTGATTTTAAAGAAGTCTTGCTTTGCATTGTAAAGATGGGAAAACGTGGAACAAATTCATCCTCAATGATGGGTTTGTGTTTAGAGCTAACAAGCTATGTATTCCAGCTAGCTCCGTTTCGCTTGTTGTTCTTTGCCGCAGAAGCGCATGGAGGTGGCTTGATGGGGCATTTTGGAGCGAAGAAGACGGAGGACATTCTTCTTTGGTCATTTCTTTTGGCCAAAGATGCGACGAGGCGTGGAGAGATTTGTTGCTCGCTGCACAACATGTCAAAAGGCTAAGTCCCGGTTGAATCCACATGGTTTGTATATGCCTCTTCCTGTTCCTAGTGCTCCTTGGGAGGATATTTCTATGGATTTTGTGTTGGGATTGCTACGGACTAGGAAAAGGCGAGATAGTGTTTTTGTGGTTGTGGATCGATTCTCTAAAATGGCACATTTCATATCATGTCATAAAACCTGATGATGCTATAAATATTCTTTGATTTGTTCTTTCGAGAAGTTGTTCGCTTGCATGGTGTGCCAAATACAATTGTTTTCGATCGTGATGCTAAATTTCTTAGCCATTTTGGAGAACTTTATGGGCCAAATTGGGGACTAAGCTTTTATTTTCCACCACTTGTCATCCCCAAACTGATGGTCAAACTGAAGTTGTGAATAGAACTTTGTCTACTATGTTAAGGACTGTTTTAAAGAAGAATATTAAGATGTGGGAAGATTGTTTGCCTCATATTGAGTTTGCTTATAATCGTTCATTTGCATTCTACTACGAAGATGTGTCCCTTTGAGATTGTTTATGGCTTGTTACCACGTGCTCCTATTGATTTAATGCCATTGCCAAGTTCGAAAAGTTGAATTTTGATGCTAAACAACGTCTTTGAATTGATGCTAAAACTACATGAAACCACTAAAGAAAACATAGAGCGCATGAATGCTAAGTACAAATTTCTTTGGAGATAAAGGTAGAAGGAATTGATTCTTGAACACGGAGATTTGGTTTGGTTGCATTTTGCGAAAGGATAGGTTTCTGAATTAAGAAAATCTAAATTGATGCCTAGAGCGGATGGTCCTTTTAAAGTGATGCAACGAATAAATGAGAATGCATATAAGCTTGATCTTCCCGCAGATTTTAGGGTTAGTCCCACATTTAACATTGCAGATTTGAAGCCTTATTTGGGTGAGGAAGATGAGCTTGAGTCGAGGACGACTCAAATTCAAGAAAGGGAGGATGATGAGGACATCAACACCGATCATACATCCACGCCGGCCCACGCCGACACTCTTTGGTCCTATTACCCGTGCTCGTGCTCGAACACTTAATCATCAAGTGAGTTCCTTCTTGAGCTCTTGTCCATCCTGTTTAGATCTTGGAGACACGTGCACTCTTGTTTTGATTAGGAATCAAGGAGAAGACCGAAGGGAAAAGGACTAGCGTAAAGGCTGGATTCGGACTGCAACACACCTCCAACTTGCGACGGTCGCCATGCGGTTACATACTGAGTCGGATTGGGGTGATTCTGGACTTGTTGGAAAGCTAATAAAGTCTACTTTCATACGGATCTGACCTCATACTCATACCTGCTCAGAAACGGCGTCAACAGTCCAAAAATCACCGAGAGGTCTATTCTGTCCAGTGGTGTTGCGCCACCTTAAGTTAGCCCAATGGGCTTGTATCGTTTAGAGTCCAGTGAGGGACGCGTCCTAGGGTTGGAGCACGACCCAAACTCTCTTGTGGTCGTCCTCCACACGTCATATACCCCTTAGCCGCCACCGGGAACACTTGGGTTTTGTTTAGATCAAGTTTAGCCTTTGCTACTTGCTTATAGGCGCGCGTCTTTGATCCACCATTCGTCTCCTTGTCTTCGGAACCCCACTCATCATAAGATTCAGTTTGAGGCTTTCAATTTCATCTTGCAAATTCAGTGCTTGTTTCCTTGTTCTTGCTAGTTCTTCGATTGCTTGCAGGACGGGAGCCCTAGTGGCTGGTTGTCGCGCTCCACAAGATCGTGACGGTCTTTGGAGGTAGTGTATCGGTTGCTAAGGCGCGGTCTTGGAAGGCTGTAGTCGGGCCGTGAACGTCATCTCCATCCACCAAATCGAGTGATTTCACGCCTCTCATCGAAAGATCGTCTATAAACCCTAGCGGGTTCATATCAGAATCACCCTGGGCCGATCGAATCACCCGAACCGATCAGAACACGAGATAAACACACAAGAACACGACACGAACACACGGCCGAGCAGCGGGGGCTCTTAGCACCCGTTCATTCTTTCCACCAGAGACTTAGGATCATTTTCCTCTCTCGCCTGTTTGTAACCCCTACTACAAATTTTCAGTGCCAGTAACATGAGCAGCAGCGATGAACTGGATGTAGGGGCTTTTTTCCGAACCAGTATAAACCTTGTGTCCCTTATGCACACTATCCAAGTTAGACGCGTAATATTAGAAATTTACTCGTCGGTGGTAACTCGAAACACCGACGCTTGCTCGTCCAAAGGGCCCTAAAATTATTGAGACGACCCTCGATGTAAGCAGGAGTCTCAGGAATGTCCTCCGTAACATGCAAGGAAATAGCCTGTCATATGGCCACGCTCGCGTTTTTTTTTTCTTTTCGGACTATGGCCACGCCCGCTAGTGGTGCTGAGTTTGTCCGTGGTGTTCTTTTTCTTTGTTTAGTTGTGTTGGTGGAGGTATTGTAAGGTTTTTTTGACCTGGTTTTCTTAAAAAAAAAGCTAGAGAAATATTTATTTATTTTTCTTGTTATTTTTTGGAGAGGTTGTTTTTCTTGTTCTAATAAAACTTACTGCAAAATTTTTACCGTCCTTTTTTTTTTTAAATACCGCCACACTCGCTCCTAAGGAGGTGACCCCGCAAACCAAAAAGAAAAGTCGTGAAAGATAGGTTCAGTAAGCGACAGAGATTTTAAAAAGGAACAAAAAAAAAAAAGAGTGCATACATTGTTGTTCGTAGCGATGGAAATACAAAACGTGCGCTGCCTCCAATCCAAAAAATAAAAAGTTTTTCTTTTTTGAAAACGTGCAAATCTTTTTTTGAACTGGGCCCCCAACCACGGCCCAGTGAACGCTGCGTCCCGATGGGCTGTTCTCACGTTCACGGCTGGGCCCAACTAACCACACGGGTCGCCGCCGGCACTCGGCAAGTCTGCGCAGACGACGACGAGAGGGAGCGAGATGGAGGCGGCGCTGCGCGGGATCAGGGCGAAGCTGACGGAGCACCGGGAGAAGGTGGTCAGCGCCCTGCTGCTGGGCTCGTTCGTGGTGCTGGGGTGGCGGTCGTCGGAGCAGCAGCGCGAGATCGACGGCCTGTTGGCCGAGAAGCGCTCCCTCCGCGCTACCAACGCCTCCATGTCCGCCGCCATGTGGGCCTGGCGGGAGGAGCTCTTCTCCCTCGCCGCCACGCCCTCCTCCCCCATCTCCGTGTCCCGGCTCCGCCACATCTACGGTGAGGAGGAGCCCGCACCGCCCGCGTCCAAGCTGCCAGGTGGGTAACCCAGTGCTCGCTGCAGTGATGTGATTCACTGTATTTTTTTTCTTGTATTCCGGTAAAATTTCATGTTTGATTGCCATCGAAACGTATACTAGTTGCAATCCAGAACTTCATTGAGTTTGCAATCTCGTTCTTACGAATTGTCTAGTGAGATTTCACTGTTCTAAGTGTGGAGGTTATGCTCTTGCACTTGACTTAGACAGGCCAAGGTTCTTTGCTGCACTAGTATGATGCCATTCTCCATACTGTACTGAATTTACAATTTCCTGCGTGAAGAGTGTAGGGACTTAACAACACATCATATAATGCCAAAATTCCAACCTGGAAATCAGTTTGTGGGTTGCACACTTGCTCTCTTGGAGCCAGAGAATCGCTTATAGAGTTACAGTTTTGCCATTTGCATACCATTTTATCCATTTGAAATTCCCTGTCCAATTAGCATTTTGGGTTCCATGATTCTGTTGTAAAAAAATGCTTAGGCTTTGCTGTCACCCAGATTGAATGAGATTACATAAATAAAAAAACACGAAATGCACTTCAAGGGTTTCTTGTAGCTTCAATTCTGCAAATGTGCGGTTATGCTATTTTCCTTGTTCTTGTATTAGGCACCTTCAATCACATTGTACTAATAGTCTAATACTGGTACTTAACAATGACAATGTGCATAATGGATTTATTCTTTGTCAAAACTAAAATTATCATGCAGTCCATTTCTCAATGTTAGATGTTCTGGTTTTCCATGTTCTCTTTTTTATTTGCTGAGAGAGAAGAAAAGTAGCAACTTAATATGCATTGGAGGTGTGGAGTATGCATATTTGTTCTTTTGTTAATAAGGTATTATGAATTCACAATCTGTCCATCAACCATGCCTTAAATCTGTATATTTTGGCATGGGTTTACCATAAGAGTTCCTTAACAAGTGTGCAGCGACGGTGATTATGATTTTCCTTCTCAGTTCTTGAACTAGAAATCTTTGGGTCGCAACATCACATCTACATTTTCTTTCCAAAACAAAAGAATCACATCTACATTGCTTGCGGCAAGTAATTGCGAAAATGAGCAGGTCACTAATTTTGCATCTGAATTTTGAATGCATCGTGGCTATAATAAAACCGTTGGCCTTTTCAATATGCAGGATCAGATGCTGGGAAGGAATCGATCTCTATAGCCTGAACTCTTTCGCACCTTTCCAATCGAGCTTGCCGTGTACATGGCTGGCTTCCTGAAGGCTAGGATGCTTTGTTAGATAATCATGAGTAGTTCTGCACTGAATTGCAAATAAATTTTATATGGACCTAACGTAAGAAACAGTGGTATCTCAGGTCTGGCTTTTCAAAGCTGTACTGTGGACTGACATAAAGGAACAGTCAGTTGTCAGTGTTGTATTTGGGTGCTACAAATATGAGCTTAAGGCTCTAGATATTCTGTGTACTTCAAATGCTGTGCTTAAAGCAAAGTCGAGTGTCAATTGACAAAGAAATAAACAACAAAACGTACACGATTTGAAATGAACGTGCCAGCGACCATGCAGGAAACGATGAAGCTGAAGGCATAACTGATCTTGGATATGTTCGTTTGAACTTATCAACCCGACTCATCAACCATGATAAACCATCAACTGAACAGCCTAGTCTCCAAATGTTTGCATCGGTTTTTTTAGCAAAAAAAAAAAAAAAACCCATAACCGGTGAAAGTAGGCGCTCCATATCCTGAGAATTTTCAAGGAAATGCTAACTGTTTGAAGGCGACGTTTTGGATAGTTGAGACTTGAGAGCACATTGGATAGCAACATGCGCTCGGCCTGTGAAATACTTAGGGGTGGATGCAGACTTAGCCTGAAGGAGAGGCTTCATCTTCAACCTTCAGCCTCCAGCCCCTCCTATCTTCTACGCATTCAAAAATGAAGCAGGGCTCAGGGAGGGGCTTTAGGGCTTGCAGTGGGCAGGAGGGGCTCAGACGCTCAGGCCCACCTGCTGGATCCATGCTCCTAACTAGATAGCACTAGTTTATTAGGTAATTGTACTTACTTTTGTATAAATATAGTCTTGCAGATGAAATAGAGTAGTGCTAGGAGTCAGTAGATCGAAGTAGCTGAAGAGCAACACACTGTCCGCTCTTCCGTTTCACTGACAAAGGACTAAAAGAGCAAGAAGAGAGCATGGAGGAAGGGGCAGGGAGGAGAGGGATCCCTTCGCTGCTGAAATCACAGGTGCCGGCTGAAATCGAAGCCGCTTCTCTGCAGCAGGAGCACATCGCCTCTGATATTACCCAGGTGAGGCCATCTAGTCTCTCTGTCCTGGGCTCCTGGCATCGGTTTCCGACTTTTTTTCAGTTTATTTATTTTCTTGCTTGTTTGCATTTTTTTGTGAAGATTTATTTCCATGTATTTTAGTGTTGGTTTGAACTGCCATATACATATGTATCAACCCCAGTTTCCCTGCAGCTTGTAGGATGGACGCCACTGATAGAACTGAAGAGAATAGCTGAGAAGGACAATGTCAACGCGCGGATTGTTGGCAAGCTGGAGTGCTACCAGCCCCTCTGCTCCGTCAAGGACCGCAGCGCTCTGAGGTATTATCTAGGGTTTGAACTTGTGTCATGTTGAAGCTACTCGCTGATGCAAACATTACTATCCAGTCTCTATCAGAAAGTAATCCATGTTATTTTATTGGCCCATTACCAATGGCCGGCACTGTGACTGTGATGTTCTTCACAGAATGATTGAAGATGCAGAGGAGAAAGGGCTGATCTCGCCTGGCATCACAACACTGGTTGAGCCGACGAGCGGCAATATGGGCATAGGTCTGGCGTACATTGCTTTGACCAGAGGTTACAGATTCGTTGCAGTCATGCCTGCCGAGTACTCACTTGACAAGCAGATCTTGCTGAGATACCTGGGAGCCAATTTGGTGTTAACGGGTAAGGATTGCAGCTATGGAGCACATACTGTCATCTTGAGCCTTGAGACCAATGTCAAAAATGGAGTAGTGCATTTGATGTCTGTTTAGTTTTCGCATTTGCAGGACTGGCTTATATTACGAATTCTAATCCAATGCTATGCTGTTTTCAGATCCTACGCTTGGCTTTCATGGACAACTTGACAAGGTGGAACAGCTCAAGAAAGAAATACCCAATGTGCATGTTCTTGACCAGTTTGCAAACGCAGCAAATCCTGAAGCACACTTTAAATGGACTGGTACCTATCTTTACAAAGGACCATCTAATCACATAAGAGTGATAAATGAACTTACCTATGAAACATTAGCAGCATTTTTTTTTATCCGGATCAGAAAATGTCATGTTGTATGATACATCACCTCTGTCCATTTGTACTTAGGACCTGAGATTTGGAAGGATACAGCAGGCAAAGTAGACATCTTTGTGGCCGGTTCAGGCACAGGAGGTACTGTTTCTGGTGTCGGCAAATACTTGAAGGTGAAGAACCCAGCTGTGAAGGTCATTTGTGTTGAGCCTTCTGAGAGTCCAGTTATTTCAGGTAAACTGCTAGCCCTGCAATCATGTAAAGTTGTAAACATAAAATACCTCATCGAATGATAAAATGCTACAAGAAATAAAAAAGACAAAAAAAATCTAAATTGGCCACTTGCAATGATTTTGCTACACGAGTGAAATTGATTTGATAATAGCTTTGCTGATTTTGTTACAGGTGGCAAGCCTTCTAGGCATAAAATTCAGGGAGTCGGCCCAGGATTTGTGCCCAAGAACTTGGACACCTCAATCACTGATGAGATCATTACAGTAACTGCAGAAGATGCAATGGCAAACGCTAGGAGGTTGGCCAGGGAAGAGGGCCTGCTAGTTGGCATATCATCTGGAGCAAATCTGGCAGCTTGCCTGAAGGTTAGCACTATCCCGAACTCTTTAATTCTTCTGACTGGATGTAGCTCCATGCATTCTTTCGTATCTTTGCTCACCTTACCTTATATTTTAAATAATCAAATGTATTTTTAGGTGGCATCAAGACAAGAGAACAAAGGGAAGATGATTGTCACTGTGTTTCCTAGTGGTGGCGAGAGATACATGAACTCCGATCTCTTTGCAGCTATAAGAGAGGAATGCATCGCCATGACCTTCTGATCTCGACGCTTGTGCAGATCTGTAATGGTGATCTGTTATTGCTCGGCATGTAATAAACTTTAGTATCATTGATCCATCCAATCCAACAAGTTGCTGAGGCGGGCAGGGTTCAAGATTTGGGACCTGCTGGCAGAAGATTGCTACGCATGTGCATTCCATTAACAGGAAAGACATGTTCTTGGCTAGGGACCTTTACAGCCTTTTGAGGATTTATGTAGTTGGTCGTGCTTGTTTGCTTCCTAGTTTCCATATTTCTTGGCACGGAAATTTCAGCAAAGAATTGTACCAGAAATTATAAACTGTGAGATGCAAATTTTCTATCTTGGATCTAAGTGTCATGTTTGAAAAAAATAACCACTTTGCCTCTGAATAAATACATTAATTCACCTCAGTTTACTTCATTTATTTGCCGGAATTGCAGTTTGCATCATGTTTTGAGTTCTAGCAAAGCCAAGACGCACCTCCTTTAACAAAGTAGTCATAACCGATGGACAATTACCAGGCCCGTGTTCCAAATGTGGACTGACCATTTCATTTTTCTCGTGCTGCGAGGCTGCGACTCACTGTCGACGAGCAAAGGAGGAAAGCCCACTTCCGAGCCACCGTTTTACCTGTCGCAGTGTCTTTTCTCAACAACAAAAAAAAACATGTCACAGTGTCACCTCAGCTTAGTGTTTAGCACCACCTCGCTAATCCACACTCCACAACACCAGTTTAAATACTCGTCCCGAGCGCCCACTATCGCCGAGCTCAGTAGCGAGAGCTTGTAACCCATGTGGGGGCATTAAGGTGGTGCGGATGCTTAGTGCTGGCTTCTGGGCTTGGGCCCGTGGTGTGCCTTTGCTGGCCTGCCCATCCCAAGTTGATAGTGGTTGGCGGGGCCCTGGCGAAAGCTTGGGCCTCTCTAAACCTGAAGTGGCAGGAATGGCGTGAGGCTGGTTTCACAGAGCAGCGATCACTGCCCGCTTCCAACGGTGGGAGGATAACAAGCCGCTGCATCATGAGCCCAATTCGGGCCTAGAGTCTCCCTATAGCAGACCACCACTTTTTTTTTAATTCAGTTACCTCTATTTCTTCCTATTTATTTTTGTTATCCAGTTACCTCTATTTCTTCCTATTTATTTAACCTCTAATTTCTTACCAGGCTTAGCTAACATGATAAGCCTTGTAAGCATCAGTCCTATTCATGAAAAGGGTAGACAGGGTCATGTGCCTCAGTGGAAGTGCAGACACATATTTTGCGATCCGCGAAGTAGTCTTCAGTACCTGCCTGTTTCTGCCAATGAGAAGAAGCCAAGCAACAGGAGGGAAGCAAGCAGTAGCATTCATGTTGATGATGAAGAGCAGAATGGGAGTATCCCTTCTCTTCTGTAGTCAAGTGAAGGTGGTGTTGGGCAGGACGAAGTAGGCACACAATGACTGATGTCTCATTTAGTTTTCAGTTTGACCGATCTGTTTCGTGCACGTCATTTAGATCTTTGCTTCTTCAAATCTATCCAGACCGTGAGGCTAAACTAGTTGGACATAATAAGCTAGAACTCTGACGAGCTTCAGCTTTTCTAGTGTTTCTGAACCACATCTGTTCTCTAGGTGAATAATACCATCATTTGTCTAGTGTTTCTTTTGTTCTTAGCATTCATTTGTTCAGTTAGCAACGTAGCTCTTGACGTTGACACCAGTGAGCCATAACCATTTGTCCAAATAAGGTCATGGGTTACAGTGGGGCTGCAGCTACAAGCCTACAACAAATATCTCCGAGCTGCAGGATACACTCGTCCCTGTCTGCCTACTCCCTCCTCCAGCTCCAGAGAAGCGAATCCAAGAAGGAGCAGGAGTGTCGAGCTGGAGCAGCAGCCATGGATGGCGAGGAGGTTGGCAGGAGGGGTATTCCTTCTCTGCTGAAGCTATCTTCCTCCTCCATTGATGGCGGTGCTGGGGAACAAGAGCACATCGCTTCTGACATCACTCAGGTGAGATCTACTATCCTCTCTTGTCATCCAATCTTTTTGGTTCTATGCTACTGGTGGAATAAGGTGAAATGAGAGATTGATTGTTCTTGTGCAACAATTTCCTCAGCTCATAGGATGGACACCACTGATCGAACTGAAGCGAATCACCAGCAAGGCTGGGATTGATGCGCGGATCGTTGGCAAGATCGAGGCTTACCAGCCGCTTTGCTCCATCAAGGATCGCTCTGCTTTGAGGTACCATCTTTTCCATTCAGAGACCTGTATTTGTTTATGCTAATCCAAATAATTTTTTTTCTCTCCCGAGAAAGGATGGCGAAAACTTTTTCATTGCGGTTGTATTATTATTAGGAGAAGAGAATAAGATTCAGCTAACATCTGTGTTGACACTTCCTTGTTCCTTCTGTTTTCTTCTGAAGAATAACATAAGATGCACACCTGTGCTGACACTTACCTTCCATTTTTCTTCTGAAGAATGATAGAAGATGCAGAGGAGAGGGGATTGATTTCACCTGGAGTCACAACACTAGTCGAGCCGACGAGCGGTAACATGGGGTTAGGATTGGTTCTATTTGCTATTCAGAAAGGTTACAGGCTCATTGCAGTTATGCCAGCTAAATATTCGCTTGACAAGCAGATCTTGTTGAGATTCATGGGTGCTGAGCTGCACTTAACTGGTATGATTAGTTGAAGAAAGTTATGGCATCACCTTAATTGCTTTTTTCAGTCATATTCCCTTGATTAAGGAATTTTATGGGTGACCTTCTTCCTTTGGGTGTAACGTATGTGCAGATCCGGCCCTTGGTTTTCCGGGCATGTTTGACAAAGTTGAACAGCTCCGAAAACAACTGCCTAACGTACATGTTCTGAATCAAGTTACGAATAAAGCAAATTCTGAAGCGCACTTTAGATTGACCGGTATGGATATAATATGTGTTCAAATGGTGCTTATATCTCGGTAAACAGGAGTTATCTGCTATCATTTTACGGATATAAGAGGATTAGCTGCTGTGGAATAGTTTTTTATGAGAAAGTATCATTTATGCATTTACTGTATTTATGAAAGTTTGTTTTTTGCTTCTACACATGCTAATAGGGGTGTAAATGGTACCGACCGTCATACTATGCTAGTGCAAATATCTGGTATGCTAGTGCAAATATCTCTGTACCAGAAATTCAGAACCTGAATCCTTCGCGCAACATGTTACTCTACAGGTCCCTGTTGCCATCATAGTATAGAAACCCACCAAAATCTACAAGAATTTTGTATTATACTAGAACAGTAACCGTTACTGGTCAGGATTTGTATTACTAAACAAATTCTGCTGGTACTGTTGTAGCTTAATACTATGTTGTTACTACATGGTGTCATGATACCTTGCCTACTGTTTACAAACACAGGACCTGAGATCTGGAAGGACACAGCAGGCAAGGTGGACATATTTGTGGCCGGTTCGGGCACAGGAGGCACTGTTTCTGGTGTCGGAAAGTATCTGAAGATGCAAAAGCCAGGCGTCAAGATCATCTGCGTTGAGCCTGCAGAAAGCCCAGTGATTTCAGGTAGTATTACACAAATGTAGAAACAGCAGTTAATTCAAAATAATATTTTGGAAGCCTTGACTCTTGAGCAGTGGCTTAACAAAATACAATATTTGCTATAAGAATCACAATCTCTAAAATTGTATCTGCACATTGATATTCTTCAGGTGGCGCGCCTGGCAAGCATAAAATCCAGGGAGTAGGGCCAGGATTTATACCTGAAGTCCTGGACACCTCAGTCATCGACGAGACTGTCACAGTGACCACTGAGGAGGCCATGGCGAACGCGAGGAGGCTGGCCAAGGAAGAGGGCCTGCTAGTGGGCATTTCTTCCGGAGCAAACCTGGCAGCTTGCTTGAAGGTGCAGACACACATCCTAGCTAACTGACTCTCCTTGTCGCATTTCAATTCCCTGCCTGAAGGTTCATACAGTGATCCTTCGAGTGCGTCTTCAGGTCGCTTCGAGAGAGGAGAACAGGGGCAAGATGATCGTCACCGTGTTCCCGAGTGGTGGCGAGAGATACATGAACTCCGACCTCTTTGCAGATGTACGAGAGGAGTGCATCGCCATGACATTTTGATCTCCCCTTTATTTTGGAAGATAGCACTGCACTTTGGACTGAAAAACACTGAAAACCCAGGAATTGGGACTTTGGGAGCCATACTGACAAACATATTTCTGGGACTTGGTACTGGTATCTTCGAGTAAATGACACTGTGGAGGCAAACAGGCTTTACAGCTTATCATACAGGAGTATTCTATAAACATAACTCTTGTAGTCTTTGTCATTACACACATGCTGTAGAAAATTAGCCATGCGCTTGGCCTATCTCTTTTCCTGCTTCTGCACATAAGCTATGGAAAACATATCGAAACCCGGACAGCAGCCGGACTTCAATCTTACAAGCAAATAAAGAATTCTCCACAGGCCTGGAATTTCAGAAGCAGCTCAAAACAGAAGGCATCTGGTGGTTACAACGGCCTTTTGTGATCATGCTTAGAAAACGCATCAAGTTCTTGCGCACATCATGTGAACTGCCATAAACCCAGAATGCATAGTATGGCATATAAAAAGAGAAGTCGTATAAACAGTACCGTGCTACTTATCCATCATACACAGGCTATAAAAGTCCAAATATGTTGAGAGAAATTCCTACTTCTCAAAATCACAAGATTAATCAAAATGCTAATAAACAAGTTCAAGCCTTCGATTTTAGAACATTTTGTTTCGTTATTTAATGGATTTATTTCCAGATAGAAATGTTCTCTATATATGACAAACCAATTTCTTTAATCCTAGGTGGCCAAGTCAAGATGCCAGCATAGAAGGATGATTCTCTCTCTCTCTCTATATATTCTGTGGGGGAAAAATGCAAGAACAACAAATTAGTCCTCTGTAAAGCCTTCTCCCTTACTATTTGCCATCGATTTTCAGTGTTTTATTTCATCCACTTAAGGCCAAACAGACAACCATCTTTGGTGCATGGGCAGAGCTCCATGGCACCAAAACATTCCTTAGAAATCAAGGATATTTTGTTGTCACTTGCAAGTTGCAACACTGGCATTACAAAATTGTCTCATACTGTAGAAAGTTTCTTCTCAGTAGCAATTTGGCCACTAACTGAAAGTACTAGTTTAGGTTCAGTGAAGTAATGTATAATGCAAACATCAGTACAAGTAAAAGTAAACAACTCAGCTAAAAACGAAACAGGGAAGTACCAAACAAGTATCAGTGACTAGTGTATAGGTAAAACAATGGTTGAAATAGAACATCTTGGGCAAGCACGGTTAGAGAAAAGGGAAAGCTTTTTTTTTCTCAATCACGCAAAAGATTTGCGTGTTTTTGTATTAAGTAGAAGAATAGTTTGTTACATCTCGGGTGGTTTACAAGATTAACACTGAGTGCACCCACCCTGCTCAGCTTCTTCTCTAACCTATTACTCGCTGAATTAAACAACCTAGGTGCTTCGCACTGGCCTGGACCCATAGCTCTGCCTGAAGTTTGATGGTTGCCTTGATCGCCGGAATCTATGTGGCTGCTCATGGAAACAACGCGCATTACGTTCTTTCTAGATTTCCCAAGCGATTAGTGCGAACATGGAGTCTCGCCTCTTGCAAATGACGCTGGCCAAAGAGCTCTCCAGGTCCGCCACCGATCGACAATGGCGCGCCGGTGGTTGCTCGGTCGAGTTGCCCCCAAGCGCCGTGGCTGCCTCGAACCACAACCGCTGGCGAAGGAACATTCGACGATGATGTGATCAATGGTTTCGGTTCGATCGCACAGAAGGTGTGTCGTGTGCATCGAGCCCATGCTTCCGCCGTCTCGTCATGGCTATCCATTATCGGCGGCGAACCGCTTGACCAGAGAAACAGCTTGACCTTGAGCGGCGCCCACACCTCCCAAATCCTGACGCAGCCCGGAATGGGGTGAGAACCGAGATGTAATGCCTGATAAGCCGATCGGACCGAGAAGCTTCCGTCAGACTCCCATCGCCAGACGAGGCGGTCCGGTGCGTCCGTGAGGACGATGTCCTCAATCGCGTGCTAGACCTGCAAGTATTCCGCGGCTGCTGGGGCAGTTACTCCGCCGGATATGGTGCGCACCCAATGCCTGTCCGTGAGTGCTTCCGCCACCGTTAGCCTGCAGATGACTCGTTTGGGGACAAAGTGCATCAAGGTGGGCGCCATTGCTCTGATTGACACCCCATGAACCCAGCTGTCTTGCCAGAACAGAGTATTCCGGCCATTGCCGATGATTGTGTAAGTTGATGCTTGGAAGAAGGACCTCGCTTCATTAGATTGCTGCAGTGGCAGCGATGTCCAAGCTCTATCGGCGTCAGTCTTCTGAAGCCACAGCCACTTTGCTTCGAATGCCGTTGCTTGGAGTTTCAGGTCTGTGATTCCCAGCCCCCCCGAGCTTTTTTGGCCGTGTGCGCGTCTTCCAGGCCACCATGCATTTCCCCCTGACATCGCCGTTACTTCCAGTCCATAGGAATCGAATCGCTTCTGATTGAGTCGATCTCGCCTGCGTGCCCATGGAGGCGGCACCATCAGCTATCATGCGATGAAGCGGGATTGCGGTCGCACCGATTTTACCATATCAGCCTCCCACGGCGGCCATGAGGGGGCGTGGCATCTGAGCGATCTCGCGCGACGGCGTCCACTGTCTTCCGGACGTGTTCTTTGGGCAGCTTGGTTGTGCTTAGGGGCAGCCCGAGATAGCGGATGGGGAAAGGCGTCACTTGGCAGCCAAGCACCTGTCGGACATGTTCGATGGCGTCCTCTGCCCCATGTATGTTGGTAATCGAGCATTTGGCCATGTTGGTCTTTAGCCCTGAGGTGTCCGCGAAGATTTGCAGAATCCCCTTGATGGCCAGGGCCTCGTTGGCATCCGGGTGCGCGAACAGTATGACATCATCGGCATAGATGCTGCATTGGAACTTGATTCCATCCGTGCTCATACTGCGCAGTACCCCCTGCTCTCTCGCCGTGCTGAACAATCTTCCGAGCACTTCCATGGCTATGATGAATAGCAATGGCGATAGTGAGTCACCTTGCCGCACCCCCCGTCGATGTCTGATCGGCTTCCCTGGCTGACCGTTTAGCAGGATGTTGGAGGTTGCCGACGAAAGTAGAGTGGTTATCCAACGCCTCCAGCACGGGCCAAACCCCATCGCCTGGAGCACAGCAAGCATAAATGGCCACTCGACAGTGTCGAAGGCCTTTGCCACGTCCAGTTTGAGAAGGATCTTGGGTATCTTTTTCTTGCGTAGTAGCACTGCTGCCCTCTGCACGTACTTGAAATTGTCGTGTATGGACCTTCCTCGGATGAAGGCATTTTGATTGGGTGAGATCAGGTCGTTCATCCTGGGCGCTAGCCTGAGAGCAAGAATCTTGGACACCAATTTTGCCAAGCTGTGTATCATTGTTATCGGCCTGAATTGGGACGGCTCGTTGGCGTCCGCTGTCTTCGGCAGTAGGACGATCAGAGCACCGTTCAGCCTGCCAAATGCCCTGGCATCTCCAAACAGCGCCGCATTGATCCCAGTGACTACCTGATCCTTGATTACGTGCCACGCAGACTTGTAGAACGCTCCCGTGAAACCGTCAAGGTCGGGTGCTCTGTCAGGAGGCAGCGCCTGAATCGTAGCCCAGGTTTCCTCTTCAGTCAGTGGCTGCTCCAAGTGCGATAGGTCAGCTTGCGAGATACCGAGCTGCTCAAAGTCGACTACCCCGTCCAGACTGTCGCTGACACCGAACACCGCCATGAAGTGGTCGTGTACTGCGCTGGCCATGGTGTCGTGGTCCGATGTGAAGGTGTCACCTACCTTCAACCTGGTAACGATGTTCCGCCTTCTTCTACCTCTTGCCAACAAGTGAAAATATTTGGTATTTGCATCTCCGTCTGATAAATAGCGTACTCTGGCCCTCTGCCTTGCTATCGTTCGGTCCAGTGAGGATAGGCCGAGGCATTTGTGTTTGAGCTTGGCACGCAGCTCTATCTTGACAGTGCTCTCTCTTCAGAGATCTGATCGAGTTTCAGTATGATCGCTCTGGCCATCAGCAGCTGCTCGCGCACCAACCAAAGCTAATCCTGTCAAAGTTGAAAGTCCCAGTAATTAGGTAATTACAAGGACCTAGCAGAAGAACAACTATGTTAAACACTTAAACTCGAGCCATGTGTGAGGCAGAAGCGACTGACAAACATGTGCAGTGAGGCTTCAAAATAAGCCAAACCAGTTCCTTCATAGATAACCAAAACATAACTTGAGCAATGCTAGTCAAACATCACTAGTAAGCGGGGGCGGGCGACATGCAGAAACAATCTTTGCGCTTGGGGCAATGACGCAGCTTATGAGGTCATACCGAGCCGCGTCAATCGCTGGTTGAAAACTATTTCCAAACCCCCTTTTTGGCCCTCTGGGCCACTGAGAATTTCTGGAAGGGCTCCTTCTCTTCGGAGAGGGAAAGCCCTACAAATCAATTGTTATTAGTAGCTAATTGAACAGAATCAGTTTACCAGGTGGCCTCTGGCTGAATGCCTGCATATCTACGTACAGCAGAGCCTAGTGTTCAAATTATCTTGCCTGCTGATTCAAAAGCCGGGCCGGCCTGATCAAACCCCAAACGTCGGACGCTTACCCTGACACGTGGTACTTTGGGTTTTTTTTATTATACTAGAAAAGAAAAACTATCAAACATTGATATAAGACGATGACGGGTTTAAAACTATAATTTATTTTATAATGAGTACGACATCTTATATTATAAGTGAATATGATAATATCCTATAAAATGTATCGGATTAGAGTATATTGTTTTAATAAAATCACAAATAAATCAAGGAGTTAATAGTGAAATTTTTAGTTGTTAGGAATTAGAGAATGGTGAAATTCAAAAACTCATAAAATTTCTTTTATTATTTATTTTTAATGTTTAAAATGATTAGCACTCACGGAGGGGAAAAAAATCCGGCGGACGGGATTTCTGCCTGGCCTCTATTGAACTATTGGCCTCCGGGCGGCCGCGGCTCCTGCAAGCTCGCTCCAGGCGGGGATCGCCCGTGTCGCTCCTCCCTGCGCTTTCCCCTCCGCTTCTTGTGCCTGCAACCGCGCAGCCCTCCATCCCTCCGCTTTCCACACACATGTACCGCGCCCTAGCCAGCTGCAGCAGGTGGCTGTGGAAGGTGAGCTACATTTCAACATGTACAACATCCGATCTATTTTTAAATATTCAGATAAAATATTTCCACCATGAGTTTGAAGACAGATGAAACACTTAAAACATGCGTACAAAACACTTGCAAAAACAAAAACACTAAAAAAAATCATTGCAAAATATATGCAACATGTAGATAAAAACACTTGCAACATATGTGTGAAACATATGCAACATCTAAATAAAAACACTTGCAACATACATATGAAAAAAAATTGATGAAACATTTGAAACAGACGCTTGCAACATACGTGTATAGCCATTGTAACATCCCGATCTACTTTTGCAATATCTATATGGAACAAAACATCTGAAACAATTGAAACATACTATTGCAACATACGGGAGGAGTGGTCGGAACCGATTGATTCCGGCCGTTAGGGTGGGAGCCGCCGGCGAGCGGCGACGCGTGAGCACCAGCAACACTAGCCCCGTGCTCGAGGTGCCCCATGGCTCGGCCGGGGACAACCTGAGGTGCCCCCGGCACGTGCACCCAACCCACCATCGGCAGGGCCCGTGGCGGCAAGGTATCCCGACGGCGTTGGGTTAGGGAAGAGGCCGGGGAGGCACTGCCGAACTGAGTCAGGAGGCGGTGTGGTCGGCTTGGGCTTTGCTGCTGCTAGTGGACGCGAGAGAGACTGAGAGATGGGGAGGGCGAGGCGGAGCAGAGAGATTTTTTTTTCTTGAGAGAGGCGAGCGAGGTGAAGTGGGAAGCCACGTCCCAACGGACGCAGGCGGACGGACGCCCGTGCCGAAGTATTTCCATTTATGCCGCCTTCGGCCTTTATGAAACAAAACAAAATAAAGAACACTTTCCACGAAATAAAGAATGTTTGAACGCGGGGTTCTTTTTTTATTGGGTTAGATCGGGTGACTATGGGCCGAGTTTGTTTTTTAGTGGGTTGGGTCGGGTGACCATGTTCAAATCTATTTGGAAATCAAATGTTGTTAATATTTTATATAAATCCAACTAAATTAAAAAATAACTTAAACCAAGAACTATATTTTTGTAGAACCGAAGATGTACATCGAATATGGTACTAATCAGCAATGCAAGGCGATGGCCTGGTTGATCATTTCATCTTCAGTTTTGCTTCAAGGCTTTGTTTTAGCTGGATCCTTTCATCTCTTCTTCCGAGGTCTTCCTCCTTGGTTCCAGCGGAAGTCAGAACTCAGAAGTCGTCAGAACTTATCAAAACATGTGGCTGCCCAATGGAACATCCTTTGGTTGAAACCTGACAGTAAACAGCAGGCCGTCAACGAACAGGTCACTTATCTCGTGCTGAGACTCGCTACCAACCATCGCAAACCTCCAATCCAGAAACATTTGCAAATTTATTAGACGACATGGACACTGGTGTCTGGTGGTGCTGGACTGGACCATGTTACTGCAATTTACTAATAGCCTATAAAAAAATTAGCAAGTGCAGCAACTAATAAAAGAGTTCTGTGGCTCGCAAGAGGCAAACCTTCAGTCGTCAGTCTTCACTGACAGCACGCTGCGAGAGGCCAAGAAACGCTCGGTAGTTTGGACTTTGGAGCAGCATCCATGGCGGGAGACACCGAAGGGCAGCAGGAGCACATCGCCTCTGATGTCACGCAGGTCGTCAGCCCCTCCCCCCTCAAGTTCTCTTCCTTCTCTCTCACTCTCGTCTTCGTGCTTGCCTTTTGGTTTTGGGGGCGCCATGAGAGATTAACTGTTCGTGTGCGACGATTCCTTCAGCTCATTGGCTGGACACCTCTGATCGAGCTCAAGCGAATCGCCGGCAAGGAAGGGGTAGATGCCCGGATCGTCGGCAAGGTCGAGGCCTACCAGCCTCTGCTCCGTCAAGGATCGAAGCGCTTTGAGGTCTGACATTTTTTCCCCCTCCTTTTATTTCCCAACTGGTTAGGGAGTTTAGATGGAACTCTGACCAGTTTTAGTTATCCTGTTTCTCGATCATCTGATTCGGATTTTAGCTGAAAAATAGCAAACTGGGAAGAGGGAACACAAAGTCAACTGGCAGGCAATCTTGTGTCTGTCCTGCACATGTCTCCCAAGTTCACACATGTTCAGAAACACTAGACTATTTCATGGTCCTAGATTTTCTGGATTTATTTATGCTGTAGCTTATTTCTGGATTTATTTATGCTATAACTTACTACTTGTTCCTTATTGTTCCTCTGACTGTACAGTAACATTTCTATTTTCTTCTGAAGAATGATTGAAGATGCAGAGGAGAGGGGGTTGATTTCACCTGGTGTGACGACACTTGTTGAGCCGACAAGTGGCAACTTAGGGTTAGGATTAGTACTCATTGCTCTTCGCAAAGGTTACAGGCTCGTTGCAGTTATGCCAGATCAATACTCGCTCGATAAACAGATCCTGTTGAGGTACATGGGTGCAGAGTTGTATTTAACAGGTAAGACAATTTCTACGACGCTACTGCATCACCTTGTTTGACTTTTCATTTCGGATGCTACTTACATTACATGCTGCAGTGGCAGTGTAAATTCAGTGGAATTGTATGGGTGAACTATTCACCATTGATTGTGGCATATGCAGATCCAGCCCTTGGTTTCCCAGGCATAGATGCGAAAGTTGAGGAGCTCAAGAAAGAATTGCCCAATGTACATGTTCTTGATCAATTCAAGAACAAAGCAAATCCTGAAGCACATATTAGATGGACTGGTATGGTTACTGAATGAGTTTGGATGCACTGTTTTTATTTCAGTATACATTAGTTAGCTTACGGAGACGACTTTTTTTTCCCTGAAATCTATACTTTCTCGATGTTTCAACTTGCAAAATTATGCTATGCACTCTTTTAAATTCTTTCCTCCGCACATGACGACAATGCAAATCTCATAACATGATTGCTTGCACTGTATTTATTGGCCCTGATGTCATCGATAGTTCAAAAACCAAAGGGTTGCACCGAACATCCTGAACACTTCAAGGGCTTTGTATTACAGAGTAGTGATAGTTATTACTATGGATGAAACATTGCGGATATTTATTCCTTAGAAACGAACAAATATGAATACTTAACTGTTACTCGGATATTTTTTTTGGACGGATACTGACCGGATATCTTTAGCGATATCAAATACGGATGTAATATCATGATATCCGGCGGATATCGGATAATCCGGATAAGTATCGGATATATCGGATATTTCGGATATTATCCAGGATATTTATTCAAAATTTAAAAATCACAAATTTGAACCACAAACTATCTTAAATGGAAAGTTGACCAAAACAACAATTGTAGATCTTGATGAGTTGAACAAACTTGGTATTCAAAACTTTTCAATTTGAAGTCATTTAGAGTTCATAATACTATAGTCAAAGTGTTGTTTTTTCATTTGACCAAATTTGACTTGGTCAAACTTGCTCAAATGAGACACTAAATGACCTCAGATGAAAAAACTCTGAATACAAGTTTGATCATCTCAGCAAGATCCTAGATTTTCTATTTGAGAAAGTTTTATGAAACACTAGTCATAAATTCTTGAATTTTACGAAACTTGTACACACTTTGAAATTTGAACTATATTTTGTTCAAACTTCTCAAATGAAAAAATGGCCTATATATTGTATATCTTGATGAGATGAACAAATTTGGTATTCAAAACTTTTCAATTGGAGACAATCTAGGGTTAGAAAACTAGTTTGTAAATTGAAGATTAAAAATCACAAATTTGATTTCCAAACTATCTCAAATGGAAAGTTGACAAAACAAAAATTGTAGATCTTGATGAGTTGAACAAACTTGGTATTCAAACTTTTCAATTTGAAGTCATTTAGAGTTCATAATACTAGAGTCAAAGTGTTGTTTTTCATTTGACCAAATTTGACTTGGTCAAACTTGCTCAAATGAGACACTAAATGACCTCAGATGAAAAAACTCTGAATACCAAGTTTGATCATCTCAACAAGATATACAATTGTTATATAGCTCATTTTCCCATTTGAGAAAGTTTTATCAAACACTAGTCACAAATTCTTGAATCTCATATAGACTTTACGAAACTATGTCACACACTTGTAAAATTTTACATTTTTTCAAACTTTCTCAAATGAAAAAATAGCCTATATAAGGATTGTAGATCTTGATGAGCTGAACAAACTTGGTATTCAAAACTTTTCAATTTGAGACAATTTGTTTCGAAAACTAGTTTGTAAGTGAAATTTAAAATCACAAATTTGAACCGTTCAAACTATCTCAAATGGAAAGTTGACTAAAACAAGAATTGTAGATTTTGATGAGTTGAACAAACTGCAGTATTCAAAACTTTTCAATTTGAAGTTATTTAGAGTTCATAATACTAGAGTCAAAGTGTTGTTTTTTATTTGACCAAATTTGACTTGGTCAAACTTGCTCAAAATGAGACACTAAATGACCTCAGATGAAAAACTCTGAATACCAAGTTTGATCATCTCAGCAAGATATACAATTGTTACATAGCTCATTTTCCCATTTGAGAAAGTTTTATCAAACACTAGTCACAAATTCTTAAATCTCATATAGACTTTCTAAAACTATATCACACACTTGAAATTTGAACTACATTTTGTTCAAACTTTCTCAAAATGAAAAAATGTTTTATATAAGGATTGTAGATCTTGAATCCATGACCATGACTCCATGAGACCCATGAAGCAATGTGCTTGGCTATTTCTACCATGAAATTGGTGCTTATATGATGTTTGATGTATGATCAACTATCTTTATCTTATTTGTTGCTTTACTCTTTAGTCTTTCGGCTTAATCTAGATAAATTATGGACTTTCCTGGTGTAATGGTTTTTATGCGACGTATGATATATATATATATATGATTGCTTTTACTCAATATCCGAATAGATATTTATTGGCCTTCTGAATCCGATTCATATTTGTATTCGATACTCATTATTCGTATCCAAAGTCAATCCGTAAAGTATATGTATCCGAACATCCTGAATCCGAACTTCAGAAATATGAAAACAAATATAATATGAGTGATATCCGTTCGTATCCGATCCGTTTTCATCCCTAGTTATTACTAGTAGCTTCTGTCCTATTTAATATAGTTTGTTGGAACCGGTGCAGGTGACAATGTTGTTTCTACATGCTATCATAATAAATTGCATGTTATTGGCGTGTACTGATATACAGGACCTGAGATTTGGAAGGACACTGCTGGCAAGGTGGACATATTTGTAGCAGGTTCAGGGTCAGGAGGAACGGTATCTGGTGTTGGGAAGTATCTGAAGACGCAGAACCCCAGTATCAAGATCATCTGTGTTGAGCCTGCAGAGAGTCCAGTTGTTTCAGGTAGTACACCATTCAGAAACATCAATTAGGTTAGTATGATCTTTGGAGTTTGGAATGCATGATTGTGGTATACATAGGAAGTTAGGGAGGCAGAGAAAAATGTGTTATATTGAGTGCTTCAATGCTATATAGAGTGCTTCAATGCTTCCAGAAAGTATTCCGTTAAGTAGCTAACATTTCTTTAGATATACTTCAGTTTCCATTATCGTTGTCCCCTATTGATGATGGCCCATAAATTTTCCGATTTAAAGTCAAAAGCTCTAGCTAATTATTAGTCACAGTGGAATGTCACTAAATGAGTTTTAGCCAGGGATAAACATAGTTGTATGAGCCATACTGTATATACTTCTAGAGCATACAGTACTTTGTTTGTATGATCACAGAGCAACGTTGTCTGCACTGAACAATAGCAATCCATTTGCACATTGAATGATAATGACATAGTATTGCTGTCCTTCAGGTGGCGAACCAGGCAAACACAAAATCCAGGGAATAGGACCAGGATTTCTACCTGAAGTACTGGACACCTCAGTTATTGATGAGGTTGTCACAGTGACCACTGAGGAGGCAATGGTGAACGCTAGGAGGCTGGCCAGGGAAGAGGGCCTTCTTGTGGGCATATCTTCTGGAGCAAACTTGGCAGCTTGCTTGAAGGTTTGCAAGAATCCTAACTAAAATCTCTTCCATTAATTCTTATTTCTAGCGCATTCTGATTTTTTTAGTAAACCTTAAAATGAATGCACCTTTAGGTCGCATCGAGAGAAGAAAACAAGGGGAAGATGATTGTCACCATGTTTCCAAGTGGGGGCGAGAGATACATGAACTCTGACCTGTTTGCCGCTGCTAGAGAGGAGTGTATTGCCATGACATTTTATTTTTTTCAGAAGAGGGCTATGGGCTATTTTCCATGTAACGGTCGGCATGTGTTGCATGTAGCTGATATTCGGTCATACCACAATGAATTGCGTGATTTTGCTACGGAATTTATACTCAACGAATATGTATGAATTAACTGGAGGAGAAATGGACAACTAATGTGTTCCAGGATTATTTCAAAATTTTGTTTATCTTATAATTTGCTAAACATATGGCCAACACAAATTGCCTCCGCATTGTTATGATGTTTTTTTTTAAGAATGAAAGACAGATGTGCAGTGTATCTTTATCTTCATATGGTATTTGTTTACTTCGTACATTTATATTTTTTCCCCGAAGGGGGAGGATTCTATTAAATCAAGAGATAACAATTATATGCATGTCCATCCAAGTCTCTGGACAACAAGAAAGATACAACAGAGTAAATTCAGAGCCCCCTAATGTCATTCTTCACCTCTAAGTCATGTTCGTAATGATTGCCTAGTTCGATATAACGAAACTCAGGGATGCACAGAAAAGGACCTTGGAAACACTCCAATTCATTTCCAGTTCATGTCATTAACAATTGGCTAGTTCTGATATATCGAGACTCAGGGATGCACATCCCCCGAACCTTGGAAACACAACATGATCCAATGCCACGGGAATGTCCATTTGACATTGAAAGTATCATGATGTCCAAGAGGATGGTAAATTGAGATAATCTAAAATTTTCTTGGAAATGAACCTATCACCTATCCAAATTCATCTATTGTGCCTAAAAGTGTTATATTCCTGCTGCATAAAGTTTTGCATCTTAAGTTCCAACCCTACTCTAATATCATAATTATAAGAATATAAAATGCATAAAAGTAAATGAGTAAAGTAAAGAGGGTTAAAAACACAAATAATTTTTTTCAAGGTATCGAAAAGTCGACACTCCCCACTAATTCTCGTTGGAGCACCCACGCAAAGGTCTTACTTCCCCTTGATCCATGCAAAAGTTCTCTCTATTAGTTGATCCTCCAGAATGGTGGATCGCTGCAACCATGTACACCTTCTTGGGCCTCTCGTAAACACCAATGAGAGATCACCAAGAGCCACACCAACACCGAGTCGTTTAGATGATACCGATCACCAAGAGTAATAAACGCAAACTCTCACGTGACCAACCAAGCTAAGTGAAAAGAGTGGATGCACACTTGCTACTCTCTAAATACTAATGAAGTCCTTAATCTTTAATTAATATTTCCTAACCACTCTAATAGTCCAAATCACTCTCTTAAACTCAAGTACGTCTAACTAGCTACCCTAGCTTCCAAGAGACCTAAAATGCATGAGGATGGAGTATATATATGTCAAGCACCCAAAACTAACTGTTGGAACTCCACTCAACCAAAAACCAATCACCGGATTTCTGTTGTGCTTTCTCGGTGTAGCACCGGAGAATTCTGGTGGCATTCAACTGGCTCAACTCTGTTGTCAAAAAAAAAAAATGGTTCAACTCCAAACTAGCCGTGAGTGTATATACAAACTCCAGCGTGGTAACGGAGGATTCCGCTGACATTGTTTCACCGGCCAAATGCACTCGTCTATAGCGTATCTCTGATGCAAACTCCGATGACTTCATCTCCTCTCAGCCAAACTACACACGTCTCTGTTGCGTCACTCCGGTGTCTACACCAGAACTATTTCTTGAACAAACAGAGAAAACCCTATTCAAACCAATGTTCTATAGCTCTGGTGGTTTTTGCGGTGCCCAAACCGGAGAGCTCTGATGCCTACAAAAATAGTGTAAACTCTTGCAATTCAACTCCATCGAGTTTGGCTTTGGGTTTCAATCATCTTTGGGCTCCATCTGAGGAGCATAGTGCTAGATTTCACAAGTGTACATCACATGCACTCACTAGACTCACTTAGGTGAAGCTAACCATTCATACCTCTCTTCATAGTATGACCAAAGAGAGAATAAGAACTTAAACTGCTCTAAATGTTTCTCAATGCCAAACAATACTTAGAACTAACTCGTCATTAGCCTTCAGACATATCCTTTGAAAACAGATCAAATCCATCATTAAGGGAATGAAAAACACAACAACCCAATCAATATACATCATTTTGACCTCACTAAGAAATGGCGCTACAAAACACATATTAGTCACAATGATTATATCGTCATTAATCGCCAAAACAAGTTAGGGGCCTAGATGTTTTTAATCTCCCCCTTAGGGTACCCATAATGGTTAGAGTTAGTTAGCAGCTCTAAGCCAACTTTTTTAATAATACTAACTTTTAGTACAAAGCTTTTAATATGATAGGCCTATATGATACTTTCTCGTAACCTTAAAATATGTGCAACAACATATGCCCTGTTCGTTTGGCTGATAAGCCATAGCTGAAAGTACTGTTGGCTGATTTGTTGTGAGAGAAAAATACTATTTATTGGCTGAAAAAAGTACGGCTTATAAACCAAACGAATAGGACGATAGCTCTTTATCAAAAACTAGTTTCTCTCTCTCCTATTAAAATATGAGAAAAATATTTAGAGCTAACTTAAGAGTCGATCGCTGAAGCTCCCCTTATCTCACTGATTCCCCTTATCTCGTATGCTCGGACCAGTCACTCTCCCCAATTAACGTCATGCATCTAAACCTAAGGGCCTGAATACGGGGAAGTCGCAGATGAGCCAGGCTGGGCCTGCAGAGTGAAATGAAATTGAGAAGCGTCCTGCCTTCAGCGTTGGTTTCCATAACAAATTATAAAACGTCATCTATTATGTAACGTAGGGAGTATACGACATGGACACTGCCACACTGGTGGTGGACCTGACCGTATTTCTCTAATATAGCGTATCAAAAATTATTTCATTTGTTTTAAAATAACGGTAATGCTCTCTACCGAGCCTCCGGCCGGCCGGACGGGACGGACCCGCCAGCCCCGTGCCTCGCACGCCCCACCCGCGCCTCGTGCCTCGCGCCGCGCACTGCTCTCGCCTCGCGTCGTCTGCGCCTCGCGCCTTCCGCCCGAACTCTCGCTGCGCACAGCCGAGGTCCAACCTCCACGCCATGGCATCGAGCTCCGTGCCGTCATCAAGCTCCGCGTCAACGAGCATCCATTGGAGGGCAGCGAGTAGATAAGCACATGTTGCAATCGTATGTTTCATGCGTTTTAGATGTATATTGCATATGTTTCATCTAGATGTTGCAAAAGTAGATCCGATGTTGCATATGTTGCAATGACTATACACATATGTTGCAAGTGTAGTTTCAAATGTTTCAGGTGTTTCAAACGTATGTTGCAAGTGTTTTATCTGGATGTTACATATGTTGCACTGGCTATACACGTATATTGCAAGTGTATGTTTCAAATGTTTCAGCTCTTTTCAAACGTATGTTGAAAGTGTTTTATCTGGATGTTGCATATGTTGCAATGCCTATATATATAAACATATGTTGTAAATATTTCATCTGTTTCAGACTTATGTCGCAGCAAATGCTTTATGCTGCAAGTGTTTCATAAGCAGGCGCAGCAAGGGTGCGTGGCGAAGGTGGTTCCCTTTGGCGCAGCGGTCCCCGCATGCGTGTGGGAAGCGAAGCGGGCGTGGCGGAAGGCGCGGAGCACAAAGCTATATCCATAGGCGTGGCAGCCGGCAGCAGAGCACAAAGCTGCATCCATGGTCGGGTAGCAGGCACGGAGCACGAGGCGAAGCGGAGCATGAAGCTGCATCCATGGGCAGACAGCAGGTGCGAAGCACGAGGTGAAGCGGAGCATGAAGCTGTATCTATAGGCGCCCTAAGGGTATCATTATTGAAAACGGACGGGTAGTGGCGCGGCGTCAAGACGTCCGGACGCTAGTCTCTCCGTCAAAATAACTACACATCTCATTTTTTTAAGTAGTCAAAACCTTTTAAATTTGACCATTATACGTAATAAGTATTAGTAGATTAATCGTGATATATATTTATAACAAATTTATTTGTTAATATTATTTTTTATAAGGTCAGTTAAATTTAGAAAAAAAACGATTCTAGAAGCGAGTTATTTTGGAAGGCAGGAGCGGTAAGCAGTCGGTTGAGATTTTTAGAGTGCACGTGCGGTTGAAACTCAGTTAAATTTATTAGAAAAAAAACTATATATAGTTATTTTAGAACGCATGAGCGGTAAGCATTCTTGGGTTCAGACTTCAGAGTGCACGTGCGGCTGGTAAGGACTCTTCTTGCGGCTCGCAAGAGGCAAGCTTCAGTCATCACTCATCAGTCTTCACTGACAGCACGCTGCGACTGCGAGAGTCCAAGAAACGCTGCTGCATCCATGGTGGGAGAGGAGGCCGGGAGGAGGGGGATTCCCTCTCTGCTCTATCCATCATCGTACGCTTGCAGCGAAGGGCAGCAGGAGTACATCGTCTCTGATGTCACGCAGGTCAGACAGGCCCCTTGTGTTCTCTTCCTTCTCTCTCGTTCGTCTTTCTGCTTGCCTTTTCTCGGCTTTCTCTTTCGTCTTCCTGCTTGCCTTTTGGGCTTAATAAGGCCACATGAGAGATTAATCGTTCGTGGGCGACGATTCCTTCAGCTCATTGGGTGGACACCTCTGATCGAGCTCAAGCGAATCGGCGGCAAGGATGGGGTAGATGCCCGGATCATCGGCAAGGCCGAGGCCTACCAGCCTCTCTGCTCCGTCAAGGATCGCTGCGCTTTGAGGTCTAACCTTTTTACTCCTTTTTACCCTACTGGTTAGGGAATTCAGATCGAACTTAAAGTTATCCATTTTCTGGATCATCTGATTAGATTTTTAGCTGAAAAATACTTCATCTGTTCTAAATTGTAAGTCATTTTGGCTTTTGTAGACACATAATTTTTTACGTAGAAAAGCCAAAACGTTTAAAAGTTTGGGGCGGAGGGAATATAGCAAACTGGGAAGAGGGAACACAAAAGTCAACTGGCAATCTTGTGCCTGTCCTGCACAAGTCTCCCAAGTTCACATATGTATGGCCTGCATTTTTGCCATGTTCAGAAACACTAGACCCCTAGAGTATTTCATGGTCCTAGGTTTTCTGGATTTATGCTGTAACTTACTACTTGTTCCCTTATTGTTCCTCTGTCATATGATTGTACTAGCAGTCTAGCACAGACTGCACAGTAACATTTCTATTTTCTTCTGAAGAATGATTGAAGATGCAGAGGAGAGGGGGTTGATTTCACCTGGTGTCACAACACTCGTGGAGCCGACAGGCGGTAACATGGGGTTGGGATTAGTCCTCATTGCTATTCGCAAGGGTTACAGGTTCGTTGCAGTTATGCCAGGTCAATACTCGCTCGATAAGCAGATCCTGTTGAGATACATGGGTGCAGAGCTGTATTTAACAGGTAAGATAATTTCCAGGAAGCTACTGAAGCACCTTGTATTATTAGTGGCAGTGTAAATTCAGTGGAATTAATATTGTATGGCCGAACTCCCCTTGAGTGTGACATATGCAGATCCAAGCCTTGGGTTCCCGGGCGTAAGTGCGAAGGTTGAGCAGCTCAAAAAAGAATTGCCCAATGTACATGTTCTTGATCAGTTCTCGAACAAAGCAAATACTGAAGCACATATTAGATGGACTGGTATGGTTACCGAATGAGTTTGGATATGATGTTTTTATTTCAGTACACATGAGTAAGCTTATGCAGACGTCAGACGAACTCATTTCTCCTGAAATTTATTACAGAGTAGTGATAGTTAGTTTCTATCCTATTTAATATATTTTGCTGGAACTGGTACAGGTGACAATGTTGTTTCTACTTTCTACATGATATCATAATACCTTGCATGTTGTTGATGTGGACTGATTGATATACAGGACCTGAGATTTGGAAGGACACTGCTGGCAAGGTGGACATATTTGACATAAAAAATAGCTGGCCCATTTTCAGGCACAGGATTACAGAGCAGTGGTATTTTCTGGTGTACAGGTGACAATGTTGAAGATATCTGAAGATGACCGATTGATATAAGGACCTGAGATTTGGAAGGACACTGCTGGCAAGGTGGACATATTTGTAGCTGGTTATCAAGATCATCTGAAGATGCAAAACCCCATTATCAAGATCATCTGTGTTGAGCCTGCAGAGAGTCCAGTTGTTTCAGGTAGTACACCATTCAGAAACATCAATTATCATTAATTAGGTTACTATGATCTTTGGAACGAATATGATCTTGGTATATATAGGAAGTTAGGGAGGCAGAGAAAAAATGTGTTATATTGAGTGTTATGCGCTCAGAAAGTATTCCTTTAAGTAGCTAATGTTTCTTTAGAGATACTTCATTTTCCATTCTGGCCTGTTTGGATCCTTAGATCGAAATCCATTACAAGAATCACAATTTGGGCCGCATGCGGAACGTACTTGTGTGCTGTTGTTAGTCACATGGTGGAGAGACTTGTATGTTGCACTGCTGCAGGCTGCCGGTGAGTGAGTCGAAGAGCGTGATATAAGTTGTAGAGCAAAAACAGAGCGTGGGGATCGACAAAATTTAGTTCTATCTCTCAGGCCATGAATTTAAGACAAGTCTATATCTAAACTTTGGAAAGTTGCGGAATGTCAAATTCCAAGCTAAATAGCTTGGTCCGCGAACTAGTTTCCAATTCAAAAAAAAAAATGATAGGATCCAAAGAGGGGTTCTCCTGTATTCGCCTGGTTCGTTTGGGCTTATTTGATCTGATAAGCCATAGCTGAAAATACTGTTGGCTGATTTAGTGTGAGAGAAAAATACTGTTCGTTGACTGAAAAATACGGCTTATAAGCTAAACAAGTCCAAGCAAACATGGCGATTGATGGCCCATCAATTTTCCACTTTAAAGTCGAATGCTCTATGCCTATTATCAGGCACAGTTGGACGAGCACAGAGCGACGTTTTCTGCACTGAACAATAACAGTCCATTTCCACACTGAATGATAATGACATAGTATTGTTGTCCTTCAGGTGGTGAACCCGGCAAACACAAAATTCAGGGAATAGGACCAGGATTTGTACCTGAAGTACTGGACAGATCAGTTATTGATGAGGTTGTCACAGTGACAACTGAGGAGGCGATGGTGAACGCGAGGAGGTTGGCCAGGGAAGAGGGCCTTCTTGTGGGCATATCATCTGGAGCGAACTTGGCAGCTTGCTTGAAGGTTTGCAACAATCCTAACTAAAATTTCTTCCATTAGTTGTTACTTCCTCCATTCCAAATTATAAAAAGTTTTGGATTTTCTAGATAGTTTTTTCTATGTACTTTGATATACACTATGTATGTCTAGATATATGGTAAAAGGAATATTTAAAAAAAAACAAAACATCTTGAAATTTGGAACGAGGGAGTATTTCTATTCTGATTTTTTTAGTAAACCTTGAAATGAATGTACCTTTAGGTTGCAGAGAGAGAAGAAAATAAGGGAAAGATGATTGTCACCATGTTTCCAACCGGCGGCGAGAGATACATGAACTCTGACCTGTTTGCTGCTGTTAGAGAGGAGTGTATTGCCATGACATTTTGAATTTGATCCTGTATTCAGAAGAGGGCCATGGGATATTTTCCATGTAACGGTCGGCATGTGTTGCATGTAGCTGATATTCGGTTATACCGCAATGAATTGCGTGATTTTGCTTCAAAATTTATACTCAAGGAAAATGTATGGATTAACTGGAGGAGAAATGGACAACGAACTAATGTGTCCCAGGATTAAAAATTTTAAAATTCTAGAAAATAGACAACGATCTAATTAAGGAGTCCTAGGATTATTTCAAATTTGGTTGATTGTATAATTTGCTAAACCAAACAAACTGCCTCAGAATCGGTATGACGTTTTATTTTTTTAAAGGAAAGAAAAACAGATTTGCAGTGAATCTTTATCTTCATACGGTATTTATTCACTCTGTACATTTATAAATCTTTTTAAAATGGAAGAGAACAGTTATATGCTTGTTTACATCAAGTCTCTAGACAATAAAAAGATACACTAGAGTAAATTTAGAGTTCTCTGATAATATTCTTCATCTCCAATCTATTTCCCCTCAGGATAAAATATTTGCAACTACTAATAAGATCAAAATGAATGTCAAAATCTAGATTCATGACACCATAAATCTTGTTCTGTATTTTTTAATACTTTATGTGTTCTAAAGCTGTAGTCCATGCAGGAACAAGGATTGATGGACTAGTTAATTAACTACTCTCTTCGTTCCAAATTATATGTCACTTTAGTTTTGTTCTAAGTTAAACTTCTATGACTTTAACTAAGTCTATAAAAAAGGTGCCAACATTACAACACCAAATTAATGTCTTGACAGTGCATGTCGACGAAATCTGGTCGGCAGTCTACCGAGGGGTATACCCACGGTAGTAGATGAATCGGTGGGGGTGCACGTGATACGAACTAGATGGTAATACAAGCATCGAGACATAAGATTTAGACAGGTTCGGCCGTCAGTATGATGTAATACCTACACCCTGTGTTATGATGTATTGAATTGTATGATATGTATATGTCGACTAGGGGACCCCTGTCTCTCCTTATATACTCTGGAGGGGTAGAGTTACAAGGAAAATATCTTATTTGGTACTATACAATATCTTGCGGTGCACGTCGACCAGTGCCGTACACACCTTGATCGTGTGGGCTGGGCCACCTCTGATGGTGTGGCCCATGTCTTGTCTTATGGATACCGGGGTCATATCCCCCATAGCTAGTCCCCGAGCGCCTTGTATCCTTTGAGCAACGCTGTCTTGAACAAATCCGAGCACTTTGACGTGAAGCCGATCAGTTTAACTGGTGATCCAAGCAGTGGAAGTCGAAACCGATCAGTTTAACTGGTGACCTGGGCGGTGAAGGTCGATGCCGGCCAGTTTAACTGATTAGGAGACCTTGGACTTAGCCAAGTAAGGCTTGCTAGAAGGATGTAAGGGGCTCAAGATAAAATTTGAAAATTCTTCCACTTAGGAGAAGTGTAGCCACTTAAACTCCGTCAATAAGGAGGGTAAATCAAGAAATAAGCACTACATTCACCGCCAGGTGAAGTGTAGCCACTTAGTCCCCGAGCCTGCTGGAAGATGAAGAATGAATCTTGTAGTAGGGTCAAAGAAAAGAAGTCTGAAAGCTTGCCGACGTCATCTGACATGCGCGTATCAAGACCTCAAACGTGTTGCCCAAGATTAACACCATGATCCGAACAGCATGGAGCATCTTGATAGCACACCGATGAGACGTAGCAAGATCCGACCACCAATGGAGTCCTTAGCTTAGCAGGCGATGCTTGCACGAAGAATCTAAACACTGAGGAGTCCCCAGCGTAGCTGGCGATGTCTGAGCACCGAGGGGTCCCCGGCGTAGCTGGCGATGTTCGAGCACCGAGGGGTCACCGGCATAGCCGGCGATGTCCGAGCACCGAGGAGTCCCCGGCGTAGCTGGCGATGTCCGAGCACCGAGGGGTCCCCGGCATAGCCGGCGATGTCCAAGCATCGAGGAGTCCCCGACGTAGCCGGAGATGTCCGAGCACCGAGAAGTTGAAAGCTCTAGTTTGGTTTTGGTTAATTGATGAAACCCTAAGTGCTAACCTAGTTTATCAAGATGATTATGAGATAGGTAGCACTACTCCAAGTGATGAAGCAATGACGAAGATCATGACAATGGTGATAACATGGTGATGATCAAATGCTTGAACTTGGAAAAGAAGAAAGAGAAAAACAAAAGGTTCAAGACAAAGGTATAAAATGTAGGAGCCATTTTGTTTTAGTGATCAAGACACTTAGTGAGTGTGATCACATTTAGGATAGATAGCCGTACTATTAAGAGGAGTGTAACTCGTATCGAAATGCGGTTATCAAAGTGCCACTAGATGCTCTAACTCATTGCATATGCATTTAGGATCTAGTGGAGTGCTAACACCCTTAAAAATATTTGTGAAAATATGCTAACACATGTGCACAAGGTGTTTGCAAGGTTGAGATGGGTTTGGGTCCTCTTCCTCCCACCGAGCTTTTGGAAAGCTTTGGAAAAATGAAATGTCTATTTTCTATTGCGCATGGGATGCAAAATTCTTGGTGGTTGGCACATTTGAGCAAGAGTGAAGAAGTTAGAGTTGAAATAGAGTTGGTTGAAATGATGTGGCATCGGTCATCGACCGGATATTTAGGTCACTCAAATGACCGGACAATCGAAAAGGCTGCGTTCGGTCGAGTATGTCGACGCAACATGATGGGTAGGGTTGAGCACCGGATCGTCTGGTCTGCGTCCGGTCAAAGTGTGGACGGACGCGTCCGGTCGAAAAAACATGCCTCGGGGAGCTTATCGAAACGACCGGACGCTGGGGCTTCAGCGTCCGGTTTTTTGACCCGAGCGTCGGTCAGCACCAGAGCCGTTGAAATCGACGAACAGCGTTTGAAGTTGGTGATGCGTGATGGCGTCCATCGGGCGTCCGCCGAGGGGCCGTCCGTCGTCGGTATGACCGGAGCGTCCGGTCAGAGCGTGTTTTGCCCAGTGAAGGGGTACAACGACTCTATTTGATGGGGGCTCTATTTATAGTCCCATGGCCGGCTCAAGGGTAAATCCTTGCACATTTTCATTGACATAACAACCTTGTGAGCTTAGCCAAAGCCCTCCCACTCATCTCCATCATTGATCCATCATCATTGTGAGATTGGGAGAGAATCCAAGTGCATTGCTTGAGTGATTGCATCTAGTGGCACTTGGTATTCGTGTTGCGCTACGGATTTCGCTTGTTTCTCTTGGTGGTTGCCACCACCTAGACGGTTGGAGCAGCGGTGAAGGATCGGCACGAGTTGGTGATTGTTCGTGGCCGCCTTCGGTGATTGTGAGGGGAGTTGTACCTTCCCATGCGGAGCGCTGAAAGGTAACTCTAGTAAATTGCTCGTGTCATTGAGTTACCTCACTTGTGGGTCGGTTCTTGCGGTGTCCAATCGTGTGGACGAGGTTTGTGAAACACCTCTTAGCCGCCGAACCACCAAGTGTTGGTCGACACAACGGGGACGTAGCGTGTTGGCAAGCATGTGAACCTCGGGAGAAAATCGATTGTCTCTCTTCTTTGTCATTCTCTCGGTGATTGGCTATATATTCATCTTGTGATTGGTTCATCCCCTACACGTCGGTATAATCACTCTACTCACTCATTTACATTCTTGCAAACTAGTTGATACAAGCTCTTTAGTGTAATTAGAATTGAGAGCTTGCTTTATTATTTACATTCATCTAGTTGAGCTCTTTAGAGTAGCAAGGTTGAGAGCTCTTAGTGAGTAATTACATAGCTAGTTTGTGTGCCTAAGTATTCATTGCAACTAGAATTGTTGGATAGGTGGCTTGCAACCCTTGTGGAGCTAGAGCAAGTTTGCATTACGCTATTTGTCATACTAATCAAATTGCTTTAGTTGATTTGTAGATTTTTAAATAGGCTATTCATCCCCCCTCTAGCCATATTAGGACCTTTCAGAAGTCCCCGACGTAGCCAGTGATGTCCGAGCACCGAGGAGTCCCCGGTGTAGCCAGCGATGTCTGAGCACCGAGGAGTCCCCGGCGTAGCTGATGATGAAGCACGAGCGACGAACAGTCCGATCAACTGGTTGGCAGCGAAGTGAGCATTGAGTAGAAGCGATCGGCGAATAGTCCGATCAACTAGTCGGCGACGAAGTCCATGAACCTAGCGGTTTGACCAGTTGAATGGTGGAGAAGTCCGAGCACCAAGTGGTCCAATCACCTGGACGATGATCCTACAATACAAATATGTAGAATGGGTAGTACATGATGTAAAAATATATGAACTCCGGAGAAAAATCAGCAATGGTGATGAAATAGCGTATGCGCTCGACGATCAGTTGGTGTGAAGATGTATTTATATTTAATACAAACCGCCCGACCAGTTAGTGTGTAGCTGAGTCTCCAGCCCTAGCTAGCCTGTTAACCATAATGTGGAGCGCGGAGCCCGTGTGCGTGTAGGAAGAACAAAGCATCGCTAAGGAGCCACTGCCGACCACCCATGACGTAGAGGGCAGACACTCGTGCATGTGTAGGGAGGAGCCGAAGATAGGGCCGTCTCTGGGGACATCCGAGCATCAACATGACTGTTCGGGGGTTTGCCTTAGACATAGCTGTATGTCATCTTTAAGATGGTATACATGAAAAAAAATTGTTTGAAGAGCAAACATGGAGAAAACAGCTCGGAGAAACATTATGGCGATATACGAAGATTGGAGAATATTTAGAAAAATATTAAAGCGTGACTTAGCTTTAGATAGAATGTCTGGTCGGCGGCGTATGGTGTTATCTGGTCGGCGACGTGAGCAGCTCGCTTAGCGGCTCGCTTGACGGCTGGAACGAAGTTGATCTCGTGTTGGAGTAGGACGGACGTAGTCGGAGGTTGGCGATATCAATCCACGTATGAAGACATGCACCGTGGTTGTCGAAGGATGTCGACACGATCCGCCGAGTTGCCGCGAAGGATGTTGATCTTGAGTTCCTCCATCTGGTTCGCTAGGGATCAGCACGCA